ACAAAAAATTTGCTCACAACAGAGTATCACACACATATTAGTTCACACATTATATCAGATTTTTTTTAATTGACTTTAACCTGTTCACAACCTTTTCATATAATTAGGTGCCTCCCTATATTCAATGTTTTAGCAAATATAGAATAACCATTTACAATACAATATGCAATATGTAATTCCTAGTTCAGTCAACACTACCAACCTTTTAATTTGACTATCAATATTTCTTTACCAGTAAGATGGTTATAGAGATCTTTCTTTATATTTTTCACACACAAACAAGTACTTATAGCAAAGTTTTGATGGAAAACTAGTCCTTTAGATCTTTTCATATATAAACATGCATAGGTAACCCTTGTTTTGTTTTCTTTATATGTCTCAGTTGCAAGTCAGCAACATAATTATTGACTCTGGTATGCAAAATAATGAGCAGTAAACATAGAGAATGAGATGTTACCATTAAGTTCTAAAGCATATTAGATGTGTTAGATGATAAGAAAATAAACCCAAATCATATGAAGGTGCTTTGGAACCAGAATCGGAGTCATTAAAGGAAGCAATTGCTTCTACATTCTACATGCACCACCCTATCTTGAACATGGTCTTCACTATTTTAATTGATATTGTTGTAATGATCCCTACCCTCACTACTTATGCTTTCACACTCAAAATTAAGATAATATCATATGTTTAAGGTTCATCTCTTGATTAAGTTCCATACTTTAACTATTGAATGTATTTGGTGATTTTATGCACCATTCTCATGACAGGTTTCTAAATAACATTAAACCTTTCAAGGAAAGTCAATTCCAGGAAGTCTTTCATAGTATCACGATCTTTCTTTCACCAAAAAATATAACCATTGACAAGTTCTCAATTCCAGAATTTCCGAAAAAGAGCTTTCCAAAACAGGGATAATAATAGTAATCAACTTGCAGGACAAACATATATTATCAATTTACATTTTTTTTAATTCTCCCCTTTGATAAGAAAAAAGCCCCATCATCTTTGACTGAATCTTCAATGGATCATTAACTTGTACAGTTAGTCAAGTTTTACTTGTAGATTTTGCTGTCAAGAAGCAAAGTCCTTAGTAACAGCCACATGACCAATAATCATGTACCACAAGTGTTCATTTATTTTTGTAGATTCTATTATTTGCCCTGACTTCTTCAAATTAAAGTTGTTCTCCTTTTGCCTATTTTAATGAACTGCATTGTAGTCTAGGTTTAGCTTTGGAAAGAACACCTTGAGGATTTTGCTGCTATGAAGTACATAGTTTTAACCCTCTAGTTTTCTGATAGAGCTTGAACTGAAGGGAGGAAAATTGAGGACTTTCTTTGATGAGTAAAAGGAGTACAGATACGTAACATGTAGTGGACCTACTTTTGGGTTGTTGATGTTGTTATTCATAGTGTGTGGAAAAGGAGTTTAGAGTGATATTGAATTAATAGTTGCAAATTGTTTTGCCTTGTGCTGTTATTGTGATCACAGAAGCGTGGCTTTACAGAAGTCCTTATAAGTGGAAGATCCCTCTAAGCCATGACTAATTGTTCTCTGGTTGCAAGGAGGACCTATAAGTGTTACTGAATTGGGTTGTGTGACATGAGCAAAAACATGAATAACCCATGATTTGAGCAAATACAAACTTCACAGATCATTATGTTGGTGGCTCTGTCTCCATTTTGTGATGATTGAAAACAGTTTTTACTTGTTACTTGGATTAAGAATGAATTTCTCTTTTGTTAGTTAGGAAATGAATCAAATGATGAATCGTTTATAAATAATTTTAGAACAGAAGAAGTACAAGAAATTCATGATTTAGAGTAACTATTTTCCTTTGGTTTGGGCATGGCATTAGGAGGCAGTTGGTTTTCTCCTTGAAGATTTTGTGGTAATCAGAATGAATAGAATTTATATGTCCACCAATTTTTGTTGATTTTCGAAGTTTTGAATTCAATATTGCAATTGCAGTTCTCATGGGGTCCTCTCCTTAAAGACCTATCACAAATTGACGATAGTGGCGTGCAAAAATCAAACAGGTAAAATCTGAATTAGAAACGAATATACATTACACAGTTAAGAAAAAATATGAAAACTAGAGTAACATTCCAAGAATGGTAATTTTCTGTGTTATTGATAACAGTTGAAAAAATGTTATTTTTATACTTAAAATTGACTTCAATTACAACCTCTATGACTTAGAAATTAGCTTGAACTCATGATTTTGTTGAATTATTGGATATAACAGAGTTGGACAGGTTTTATGCTTGATTTCCTTGTTTTTGCAGGTTTTTAGATGAAATTGATGAAAGAAGTGAAAAGGGATAGAGATGGAATCAGAAAAGGACACAAAAGGTGCAAAAGAGGAGAAAACGCAAGTACCGCTCAACGCCAATTACCGCTGAGAGGCACTCTCAAAGACCCGTTGGCACCGCTGAGGGGAGAAAAGTTGCTGAGGGGAAGAAGTGGTCACGCGTTACTACCGCTGAGCAACACTTTTCTAGGCTTGGGCCTACTTTTCTGTATTTTTTAGAATATTATATAAGCTTTAGGACGTTCTAGGGTTTGTATCTTTGGCTGGGACGAAGCAAAAACGCACTCTTTCACCCCTTGGAGGATGATTTTGGATGGTAAGGCTCCTTTCTCAACTTTCTAGGGTTCTATCCTTCACTTTTTCATTGTATTTCATCTAGTTTCACCATGAATATGGTGAACTAAACTTAATTTGTTGTTGGGGAATCAATGTAAATCCTTAGAAACTCTCTTGCATGGAATTTGTTCTTCAAGATCATTTTTATGATACATGCTTTCTTTCATTAATAGTTAGGGTTTTTCCTCTTTGCTCAAAGCATGCATTGTTTAACTCATTCGATGTCATGATTATTGTTTTTGTCTATATGGATACATACGGGGAAATCTAGATCTGGGGAATCTCTCCCATTAGTATATTACCAACCTAGACATAGGAGTATGATTGTTGGTTGCCTTTAAGCTTTAGTTCATTATAATGCATGATTAATTGCTAGGGAGATAAGACATTGTAAACTAGTGATTATGATTAGGATTTCTTCACCGAGACATCGAGTTTAAAGTAATTTAGAAAGTGACATTAACATTAATAAAAAGAATGATGAATTCCTAAATACAAGAGAGTGGAAAGGATGAAATTGATAAACCCCAACAACATATTCATCCATATATTTCAATTCACGTGTTTTGTTTCTTCTTGTCCATTGATCATCACATGCATACATATTTACTTTTCAGTCTTTTGCATTTGAAACTTACAACAATTTGTTCTCGAGTCTTAAATAATCAATAAATTACATAACTGTCTACCCGTAAGTCTCTTGGGAAACGATTCTTGGTCTTACCAGGATTATTACTTGATACGATTCAGTTACACTTGCCGAGGGTAAACAGTTATCTGATAAAACAATTGATTGTCTTGGTAGACCCTGATCATGAAAGTGATTACAAAGGAGGACTTTATAGCAACCTGTTCACAACACATCCCCCTTTTCAGATTGATGCTAACTTTGGGTAAGGCTCAAGTTTTTGTAAGGACTGTAAGGTATCTTGTCAATTGCACTTTCATCACTTAAAAAGCTTGGGCTGTATATTTATTCTCTCTCATATCTTGGTAAGGCAGCTGTCTGCTGTAGAAACTGTTAAGTTTCAATACCAAGAAACTCAGTAGAATTTCAATTTCTATACATCATGTTAAGGCTTCAACTTTTGTTTCATGCGTTCCGTGTTTTTTTGATAAATCTGCCTACTGATGCAAGTTTTTTCCCTGTTTTTAAACATTATGTGTGGTTATCATATCTTGTTGAATATATACCATTGCATCTTCTCAACATTATAACCCAAGACTTCCCTTAATTTCTTCTATAACATCTTACACAACATAACTGAGCAATTCCATAATTGAAAAAATTCATTACATTCTAAATCTTTAAGTGGACCATCAAGAATAGTAGTATTGTGTTTACTTCACCCATATTCTTGGTAGTTAAATTCAGAAATCGAAACGTGGCCTGGATGAGACTATTACTTTAGCTTTAGCAACTATGTGAACTCCTGATAGAAAAAAAGCTCTTTTTGGTGGCAGTTTTTCTGGAGCAATAGCAGTAATGCTTTTTCAAAGCACAATGAAAGACCTTTACTTGCTTCCGGCATTGCTACGCAATACAAAAAGTCCTCTATTTGATTAGTTGATGTGTGACAGAATCATCAAATTGATGATACAAGTACATTAAGATAAGACAAATAATCTTTCGAACACTATCATCTACTGTTCCGTTTGTTTGGAACATTTTGTGTGATTATAATAGGAGTTTTGCATTCTTACGCCACAATTTTCATTTAGTTCATCTTTAGTTAATGTTAATAACATCTCGTGATCTTTGTTAGAAAATTTGTACTTCCACTGTTTGAGTATTCTGATTTAGTTAAAGCATAATTAATAATATTTCTTACTTTAACATTATGTTGAAAAATGTTATATTCTTTTTAAGTGTACTTTTGGTTCTGGCTTAGTTCTGCTAAGTATTATTACAAGTAGAGATTTATCATATATTATAATGCGAGAATTTTACATATACATCTATTTTTATTTCGTCATTCAAGTAGGTATAATTTTTCATGCCAATTATTAGAATAACAACCACAAAGGGGTTGATTTGTATTTTCTAATTTATTTTTCCTTCTTTTTGAAGACATTTATAAACTATAAGGATTCTTGACACCAAGAAGCATTCTTTGCCCAAGCTATCATGTATGGTTTGTTTTTTCTTTTTAAATTATATAATAATTATTAGGCTCCAAGTTTACTATTATAATTAACACCCTCTTATTATATGGGATAACTCTTCCCAATCAAAAACTCCCATTCCTCTTGCTCTTTACCTTTTTTGTTTGAAAGAAAGGTAAAAGAAAAAAAATTGCATTTCTACTTTTGACTATTGTAGAGGTGGTTGATTTTCCAGATAACAATGGATCGAAGTTGGATAAATTTGATATGCACAACAAATGAATATGAGAATGGAGTAGAACAATTTATTGAATTTGCAAAGATGAATGTTCCAGACAATAATGAAAGATTTTATTGCCCATGTGTTAATTGTTTGAATGAGCGAAAACTATCAGCTGAAGTTATTCAAGAGCATGTTCTATGTGATGGATTCCTAAAGAGCTACACAAAGTGGACATGGCATGGTGAATTAATAGACATGCCAAGTGTAAGTGACTCTCAGGTAGAAGCAGAACAAGTTGATTTAGAGATGAGTGATCGGTTAGAGGACATGATACATGGTGTCGAACCTGATTCCTTCCAACATGCTCATCTATATGACAACTTGTGCACTGATGCAAAAAAACCTTTATATCCAGAATGCACTAAGTATACTCGATTTTCAGTTGTGTTAAAATTGTTCAATGTGAAGGCAAGAAATGGGTGGATTGATAAAAGCTTCACAGAGTTGCTTGAGTTGTTGAGTGATATGCTTCCAGAAGGTAACACATTGCCAACGCGCAATTATGATGCGAAGAAGATATTGTGTCCCATGGGTATGGAGTATAAAAAAATTCATGCATGCCCAAACGACTGTATATTGTACAAGAGCGGGTTCCATGAGATGGCATGCAGATGGACGTATAAAAGACGAAAATTTAAGGCATCCAGCAGATGCAATGCAGTGGAAGAATATTGATTCCATGTTCCCTAATTTCTGTAAAGATTCAAGGAACATTAGGTTTTGACTTGCTACAGATGGAATGAATCCATATGGCAACTTGAGCAGTAAACATAGCTCGTGGCCTGTGATGTTAATCATTTACAATTTACCTTCGTGGTTGTGCATGAAACGCAAATATGTGATGTTATCCTTGATGATCTCGGGTCCAAGACAACCAGGAAACGATATTGTTATTTATTTAGCCCCATTAGTTGAAGATTTGAAAATGTTATGGGAAGAGGGTGTTGATATGTTTGATGGGTACATTGGTGATTCATTCGACTTGCATGCCATGTTATTTTGTACAATCAATGATTTTCCGGCTTATGGTAATTTAAGTGGCTATAGCACTAAGGGTCACAAAGCATCCCCTATATGTGAAGAAGGCACATGTCATCGTCAACTACACCATGGAAGGAAAACGGTATACCTTGGACATCGGAGGTTTCTTACTACAAACAATCCATATCGTAAATTAAAGAAAGCATTTAATGGGTGTCAAGAAAATGAATTAGCTCCAATGGCTTTAAGTGGATCACAAGTGTATGAACATGTGAAGGCATTGGGTATGTTCTTGGAAAGATGCAAAAAAAAGGCACTTCAAGCAACATATGGAAGAAAAGGTCAATTTTCTTTGATCTCCTATATTGGAGGGTGCTTGATGTTAGACATTGTTTAGATGTTATGCATGTAGAGAAAAATGTCTGTGACAGTATTATCGGAACACTCCTCAATATTCAAGGGAAAACGAAAGACAGACTCAATTCTCTCTTGGACTTGGTTGAAATGGGTATAAGAGAACAATTAGCTCCAATATCATATGGTAAGCGAACATACTTACCTCCAGCATGTCACATTATGTAAACAAGAGAAAAGGAATTTTTGTGAGTTTTTACAAGGTGTGAAAGTTCTACTGGGTTACTCTTCTAATTTTAAACGAGTTGTATCCATGAAAGATCATAAATTACTTGGGTTAAAATCTCATGATTGTCATGTATTGATGCAACAACTTCTACCAGTGGTTATTCGAGGAATATTGCCTAAGAATGTTAGATACATATTAACAAGATTGTGCTTTTTTTTCAATGCAATATGTAGTAAAATTATCAAAATTGAGAAGTTGGATCAATTAGAAAATGAGGTTGTGGTCATATTGTGTCAGTTGGAGATGTATTTTCCTCCATCATTCTTTGATATTATGGTGCACTTGATTATTCATCTAGTAATAGAAGTTAGAATTTGTGGTCCAGTATTCTTACGATGGATGTACCCTATTGATAGATACATGAAAATATTAAAAGGCTATGTAAAGAACCAATATCGTCCTGAAGCATCAATCGTTGAAAGATATATTGCTGAGGAAGCTATCGAGTTTTGTACAGACTATTTATCAGATGTTGAAGCTATAGGAGTACCTAGGTCTCGTTACCATGGAAGAAGAGGTGTCGGTAAGGGTACTAGAAGTTCAAAAGTTGTCACCTTGAATAGAGCTGAAATTCTACGAGCACATATGTATATATTGAATAACACTGAAGAAGTCATCCCCTACTTAAGTGCTCATAAATATATAGTTAAGAGAAATAATCCACGAATGTCTCAAAAATGGGTCATTAATGAGCACAACATAACCTTTTTAAAGTGGTTCAAACAACAAGTTCAAGCTGATTGTACAACTTCTTATACATTAAATTGGCTATCAAGTGAGCCAAACTTTTATGTCATATGTTGGAGTGGGTATGATATAAATAAATACACATTTCATACACAAAAATAAGATGAAAAAACCACCACTCAAAATAGTGGAGTAATGGTTGTGGCCGAGTCAATGCATTTCTCCAATTCAAAGGACAAAAATCCTGTGATGGCATCCATGTGCTACTTTGGTGTAATTGAAGATATTTGGGTGATAGATTACACAAGTTTCAGAGTACCTATTTTTAAATGTAAGTTGGTTGATGGTAATACTGGTGTGAGGACTGATGATCTAGCTTTTACATTGGTTGACCTAGAAAAGGAAGGTTATACTAAAGAGCCATTTATCATGGCGTCTCAGGAAAAAAGAGTGTTTTATGTCACTGATCCCAAAGATAATAGATGGTCAGTGGTTCTTCAAGGTAGAACAATGCATTATACTGATGACAATGATGTAGTCGTTCCTGATATTAGTGAAACTCCATCTTTCTCATCAAATATGCCAACCTTGAATGTCGATAATGAAGTTGACGACATCCATGCCATACGTGATGATCATTGATGTGGGCTGCCGTGACCCATACAAATTTGATTGCATATAAGGAATGCAGTATAGCTAGGAATTGACTCCTAGGTCGTCTCTGAAGGACCAATTTTGCGGTTCGAAAATCGAGTCTAACAATAGAAAAAGGGTTTTGAAAACAGATGAAAGCAAACTAATTTAAGCTAGCATGCTAATTAAACTTACACTATTAAAAGCCTTAGACAACATTCAAACATCAAACACTGTTCAAACTGAGTAACAAAAGACAAGTTAAAAATAATAATGCAAACATAATCAAACACATGATAAATCAAATATTAATTAAATTAAGTAAAAACCAAAGAAACCACCAAGCCTAATTTAATCCTAGCAAATTACGTGTCATCATGGCAATTAACAAATGAATTAAAAGTCCAATTGGCCAAAAAGAAAAAGCCCCATGGCCGGAGGCACCATGTACCAAAGTTAACTTCAATTTCACCTTCAATTTCTACCATGTGCCACCATTTTCAAGAAATTAAGCATGTGCCTTCCACGCTCTCCAGACCGTCCCCTCTCTCTTCCATGCAGCAAAGAAATGATTTTATACAACAAAGCACACAATTTCAGTGGAACCACCAAGTGGAAATGCCAAAGAATGATTCAAAGACCAATGTGCAAATGGAGGAAGATACAGGGGTGCTCCTAACCAAATGTGCCAAGTAAGCTAAATCAAATGAAACAAACTCCAAAACCTTCCATGTTCATTGCAATTCCGGCTGGAAAAGCAGAGGCCAAATTTCAAAGGGAAACATTCTTGGGTTCAAACAAGCATATTTTGTGTTGGTCAAAAGTGGTAAAAATTAAATGGAAGC